CCCAGGCCTCTCATAGAGGACCCAAGATTGAGGAAGACACAGACCACCCATAGGGGTGAGAAGGGTATGTGTGTGTGTGTGTGTGTGTGTGTGTGTGTATAAAATTAAGTCCGTCTTCCTCAAATAGTGATTGTAATTTACACAGTGAAACTCTAGAGATATGCTTCTGTGAAAGAGTTGTTTGAACTATGGAATAAAAATAGGAAGGCTTCTTAAAATATAATTCAATGTCTGAATTAACTTTATCTTAATCACATTTACTTTACCTCAAATTCTCATAGGAATACTAGGCCTTCTGTTCAGAATTTCTTCCCTATATTTAAAAAACAGGGATAAGTTCATATTTACCAGTTGAGAAAGTTTCCCAGGAATCCTTATACCCAAATAAACGAAGAAGCCAAAACGCCATCTAGAACTCCAGTCCTTGTACATGTCAAAATTATAACTGAGACCCAGTGTCTTCAAACCTGATTTATTCCAGTTTACAAAGTAACAGAAAGAGAGTACCAAAGTTGTGTAGTAGCAAAATGAGATTTGGAATGGTATTTTCTGGCTCTCTTATGAAACATAATGCATTATCTGTACAAAGCAAATCTTATTCTGCCTCCTTTTTAATGTTTGCAGAATCCCCAAAGGAATCCAGAGTAAAGAATTCTGGCAGATGGTCATTCAACCTCTGCTTGAAGACCTCCAATGAAGAGGTCCATCACCTCTCTGGGACATCCATTCTACAGTTGAGCTGTTCTGAATGTTAAGAAGGTTTTTTCCCCCCTAACTTCATGTAGGATTCTGCTTTCACCTGTAAAATGCCATGATGTGGAGAAAAGTGGCTGAAATCAAGAAATGGATTACAAGTCTGTTGACTAATTCAGAGACTAGTTTGTCAAGGGCTATTCAAACAGAGAACTTTGGAAGAAGTCTTTGCACACAAAAATTAGGGGATGTTGAGCACAGTTGATTGGTTTGATTCAAAGACCCACTGAAAATTATTGGGAGATATTTAAAAAAATATATTGTTTAGGATAAACAAATAAGAATTGTTTCTTTAACTGGGTTTCCTTTTTTGACAAAGGCCATATCATTGTTGCCTGAAGTTTTCATGAAATGTCTCTGTCCTCTTTTCTGCTCTGTCTTATCTGTAATCAACCATGGTGGATCTGTTGGAATCCTTGGCCCTAAATTTAGGACTGTGTATTTCAATATTCTAATTGTCACTATTTACAAAGCAAGCTTATATGTGTATGCTGAGAAATAAATACTATTATATTCAAAGAGAAAGATAAGCAGATAAGCAGATGTAAGAATTCTTCCCTTATAATTCTGAGTTAATTTTTGGACCAGGATATGTTTGCCTCTGCATGTTCTTCTGGACCACCCACCTCGGCCACTACCTGATCTCAGATGTAGCAAAAGGAACATGATCTTTGTAGAAGACTGGTCTATTAAATAATGTCAGTCATGAATCTGTCTGCTGAAGTATTTCAACTTTTAGCAGAAATATTCATTGTTACTTGTCCTTGGTCATGATGCAGTAAATACTTATCCCTCTAGTGCTTTCTGTCCATGGTGGTGATGATAGGTAAAATGGAGTTTATGTGGTTTTGCATCCCTCTGTGGTACAACTTCTGGCATTCCTCAGTTCTCAGGGGGCTTCAGTCCCAAATAGGAAGAGCAATGATACTGGAAAAATGTGTATGCTATACAAAGTAATCATACCACTATTTTTTTTTTTTTCAAATGATTTCCTCAAAGCATGTCTTCCTAGATGGTGCTACTAAGGAACCTGGCTGATGTCAAAAAGCTAAGCAGGGTTGGACTTGGTTATTACTTGGATGGGGACCACCTGGGAATCCAGGGCTGTGAGTTAGACTGGAAGAAAAAAATCCAAAAAAAGGCAATAGTAAACTACAGCTGTATAGTTGCCAAGAAAATTTTGTGGATGTGTCCACATAGTCACCAGGAGTTGAACTTAGCTCAGCTAGAAGGAGATTTGCTGTTTCAGTATCTAAAGATATTGGGTATTCCTGGAGACTACAAATTATTTTAATGTTGCCTTCATAGAACATTTAGATAACCACTATGCAGCAATCAAGTTATATTTGCCACCCATGGTGAAGAGTACTTGTATCCCATATTCCCCTCCAAAGAAAGGTTGAATTCAAACTCAGTTACATTAGAAGCAGATCCATTGAATTTAAAGGGACTTAAGTCAGCCATGACAAACATACAACCGGTTGATTTCAGTGAGAAATTCATTTTGCTGAGCATTAATACTACACACACAAAATGTACTTTGTCCTTAAAAATTCTGAATGTGTTAGTGGAACATGCTCACGTTCTAATATGCATATAATTAACCTGGATTTTGGTATTTGAGAATTGGAACTTGCATTTGATGTGCGATGAGCTCTTCCGTGTTGTTTAATTTTGAAATGTGTAGAAACAATGTATAGAAAATTTTAAAAATACATAGAAAAATGTCACGAATATTCTCCAGAATTATAGTTTTAGCAGGGACACTTCCAGGAACCTGTGGATATTGTATCCCATCAAAATGTAAGAAACAACTATAATATTTTGAGCTATTCAGTCTAATACTTAAGTGTTGCTTATTCACATGTGATTAGACACTAACTCTACTCATGGTCTTAAACTACAGGGAATATCGCCATTCCACAATATCTATTCTTTATAAACAGGAACGAGAAGGCAGAGTTGAAATTTATCAGCAGTTTTTTTTTAATTCAAAACCAATACAGTTCTCTCATTTTTATTTTCTCGTGTACCTTCATGCCACCTTCCATCACATTTGACAGACTGTCCAAATATTGAATGAGTACTAGCAAATTCCTCTTTACATATTTACATTATGTACATTCCTCTTTACATTCCTCATTTTCTGGGAGATCACAAGACATGCTCACACACAAGCACTGACAATGGTTTGCATACGTTGGCCTTGCTTTTTAGGATGTGGAGAACGCTGCAGAACTTCTCTTCGGTAATGCATTGGTTGCACTCTAGCATTGACCCATTCACCCTCCAAAGCACCAGGAACTGCAGCCAAGCATTCCTATCTGCCATCACCCTGGAAATGTCTGAAAACACTGAATGGCTAATGTTTTAGGAGGCCAAGGTAAGCTGACATACTTTGCCTAAACATAGCCGATTTCAGCCAAGGTCTTCAGGCCACCTCATTATGAGGCCCACCTTCTTCTGAATCACAGAAAGCAATACTTGGCTAGTCTCCAGACTGAATAATTTACTTAAAATATTTCTAGGCTGCTTTTTAGAGCCCTCCCAGCAATGCTTCATTCCTTTGAAAAAGTGAGCGCACCATGGCGCGATAACCAGGAGGAGGAGCAAGTTAATGCTACCCGTCCTATTCAACAGTTGCAGATTTTTTTTAATAAAAACCAAGATTCATCCATTTTTCGCAAGCAACAATGGATATTCTTTTACTAGGCAAAAATGATGTCTGCCAAAGAACCAGAGGAACGGGTCTTGTTTTGTTTTTTCACTGAGAGATGAATTGTTGAAGTGGAGCAGTACAAGGTGTAGAAGCTTAATCTCTCACCTTCTCTGAGATAATGATAAGGCACTCAGTCTTCATAAACTCTTTTGTTTTCAGGTTAGAAACAATCAATCTTTCCATGAATCCTGCTGTAGAGGAGATAGGGAATGGTCCCAAAGGACAGGAGGAAGAACCGTTACCAAGGCAATGGTCAGATAAACAGGGCTTGAAACTAGTTTGATGAAACATCTCAAATGGGGCCTATCCTAGTTCACACCAAGATAAAGGGAGGGAGGGGGAAGCACATTCAGACTTGCAAGATTCTATTACTATAGCTATTACAATAAAAGTAGTCTTGGCCTACTGCTTTCTTAGTCTAGTCTACCTAATAGGGCTGACACCTGGCTTATAATGATGAAAGTAAAGTGATTTCTCTGAATGTTGACCTAGTCTTTACATATCTGGCACATCTTGGCTAGATAACATCATCAGTGCAATACCTAGTTTGGTAATGAGTGTCTGTAGGAAAACAGGGTATTTTTTGTTTTTGCTTTCAATATTGAGGTTTTAATATCTTTGGTTTTAATATTTTTTATTATACATAGATGTGGGTTTATCTCTTGGCTGTGTGAGATGGGTGGCTACATCAACTTTTAAACAAACAAGCAAAGAGGCTCAGAGAACACAAGAACCCAACAAGGCTGAGTTAAATATATTCTCTACTATTATGTAATGGTTTTCAAAACTGAGAATGGCTGAGACACCATAATATACGTCAGCATCATCACATACATGTAAACGTATTTCTTTATTGATTTGAATTCATTTTGCCAAAGGGAAGAAGACGCCAGGTGGATATAGATGGTATTTCAGTATCTACCTCGCTTTTTTCTTCCCAGCCTTTAGTTTTCAAATCCCTTTTAAGCAACACACAATATTTAGAAACTGGTAGAGGTAAAACAATGTGAAGTTGTGGAAGGGAACTTGAATCTACATCACAACTCCAATCCTTCTAAAAATGCACTCAGTATCTCTCATACAAACTCAAATCTCTTCCATACTCCAACGATCACATGGATCGTCCCCCAGCCTCCACTCCGTTCAGGCTTCCATTTCAAATCTACTTCCTTCCTGAAATTCAGAGAAAATATAAATCCAATAATCAACTCCCGCTTCTGCCTTTTCTCTTCTCTCCTTCTCTCTTCATGGTTCCAAACTCTCATTCCTTTTTTAAAAAAATAACATCTTCCATGGAATATTAAGGGACCCATCATTGAATTTTGAATCTCAGAAACCAGGGGGAAAGTCCCAGGAAACTTGCTCGTGATATATTTATACTACTGAGATTTTAACTTAAAAAAAAAAACTCCAGTAAAGCTGTACATTGTGTTTTTATATGAAACATGCATTTATGGCATGAGAGGCCTCAGGCAAAAGAGGGACTGCCAGATATCAGGGCAGTTCTCAGGTAGTTATGAAACCAGTATCAGCAGAAGTATTCATTTAGCTGTCCATCTGCCTTTGGAATCGCTTCAGAGTCCACACTGGACCTTGAAGAGAGTAACCTATTAGATTCGTCCGGTATGTGACGAGTCAAGTATTCCCCTTCTATCCCATTTGCTTTGGTTCCCGGAGAGAGGCTTTCAAAAGTGACATAAGAATCCTGAATTTCCTTGGGTTTCTGAATGAAGCATTTTTTGCAGCGTCTTTTCAAGGCCCCGCAGCAGACCACCAGGGTCAGAGGGACTGCAATGACACAAGCCACACTGATGACCACCACGTTGATAAGTTTTTGGGTTCCACCAGCACTGGCAACTTCATCTGTTGAAAAAATTATGCATTGTTCCTTTTTGGGTATTAGTCCTTTCACACAAACACAGGCGATATATTTGGTCTTGGGCATCAACCCACTGATGGTGATCCTGGTCTTCCTTGGCTCCACATTGATTCTGCGCATGTCCCTTTCTCCAAAGATTGCATAAAGGATACTGAACATAGTAGTATTATTGGCCCGGGGTGCTTTCCATGCTAAGGAGACACTATGATCAGTATCTCCAATTACTCTGACAGACCTCACTATGCGCTCAGATTCTTGGTGAGTAGTGGGCAGACTTGCTAAAATATTTCTTGGGTTCTTCTTCATATTTAGTGCCTCATCTCGAAGCACCAGATTCCCATCTGTTTTGGCTTGACCTGGTCTGACACCCAAGGTGGGAGAAACTGAAGTTGTCATGACATATCTTGCTACCAAATTGTCATTGTAGGCTCCTGTTTCCATTCCTTTGACTTGTCCGTTCCACATTCCTTTTGAATCTGTCAGGGGGTCATCAATGCTTTTAGAATCGGTGATGATCAGGGAGATAAATGCTTCGGTGGCTCCAAGAAAGTTTTTTGCTTTGCATATGTATTCTCCAGAATCAGAGTAAGAGACAACAGGCAATCCTAAAATAGACCAGCTTGTTCCGTCACTGGAAATTTCTTGATGTACTAGAGAGAGAAGAAATAAAAACTGAGTAGATAAAAGTTCTGCAAACATAAGCTGTTGGGAATTGTTATATTCTATGGCTTGAGTTTCTAAGATATTTATTTTTAATGGCATTTTTCTTTTCGGTGATAATCTCCTTAGTTATGGGTTGACTTCAGATTAGAATAATTCTAATGGTGTAGTTTAGAAAAATGCAACCAATTAAGAACAGAAGTTTTTTTTTCCCAAGGGTTACTCATTTAATCTATTATATTTTTACTACTATGGAGAGGGACAAGGAGAGATGGAATAGAGAATAAGACTGTGCAGTCTCTTGGGTGCAAAGTCAAAACAGTGCTTTGGAGCACACAGGCATGTCCATGTAACATCTACCTACATTTCCTTAAACCAAATGCATATTACTGTGGAATTCATTTGCAACTACAGTTTTCCGTCCTGGAAAAAGATGCAGCTGCTTCAAGAAGTTGCAGACAGATCCTCGGAACATGCATTCACATGTTGCAAACCCCCCATAATCCTGCCACATTTTTAAAATATAGTCTGAAAAGTTGTCTTAACGTTCAGAATTGGGCAGGAACACTGTTCTTTGTTCTGTGCCCAAACCTTGTAACCTCTTCCCTCTTTCTCTAGCTCAGGCAGATGTGATGGAACAGGAGAACCAACCTGTGCCATTGAGTGGTTTCCCATCCGCCCTCCTCCAGCTCAGCTCTGGAACGGGCACCCCAGTGGTCCCACACCGCAGCAGGACAGTGCTCCCTAGGATGGTCTTCACTTTAGCCACTGAGGTGTGCACAGCCGGGCTCTGACACTTCCTCAGCTCCACTTGACTGAAGAAAACTCTGGCCAGGTTCTCAGGACTGAAGCATTTCAGCTTTGGATCAATGAATGCGATGTTGGGGGACGGGAAATTGAGGAAGTGAGCCATTTCATAGAGGCTGCAGTCACATGTCCACGGATTGTCCTGTAAGGCTGGGAAGAGAAGCCATTTGGGGGGTCAACCATCATGTCATCAAAAGGGCTCATCAGCTGTTGCATAAACAAAGGAAACCTTCAGGAATGGGCTTCTTCCTAGCACATCTGTTTTCCTTTATCCTGAACAACCCAATTCAGTGTTTGCAGACATACAACAGAAGGACATGCTATTCAAGCAGTTGTTCAAACAAATGCTTGGTCTTTCTGCACAGAATTTGTAACAGCTGAATCACACAGGCTGCAAAACCATCATATTGCCCCTTTGCAGAATCTCTCCCCATCTGCCTAACATAACTGCTTCTGTTTGACCAATTAGGGAGGTAGGGATCTTGCAAATTCAGTTATTTGTTTGTTGATTCTCTGTGGTCTTAAATGATCACCCATGCTAGTTTTGACTTCAAACATAGATTTCCTTTTAAACATTAAATACCTTTTTGCAGTGATAGCCACATTTGTATGTTGTTGGCACATACACAAAAGGGCTGGAGTTTCTATGACTTTTTTGACCCCCCTCCCAACAGTCTTCCTTGCTAGAAGGAATCTTTACTTTAATAAATAAATAAATACATACATACATACATACATACATACATACATACATACATACTTGTTGGAGTTGTTTAGACCAGGATATGCAAATTGCTTTTCTAGGGTAAATGCCAAGCCAAAGGCCTTGCTCTAAAAACTACAGGAGGCCAGGAGAAAGATTAAATTTAAATCAGATTTAAATGTAACTAAAAGTAAAGTAAATTCATTAATGTAGTTAATATTTTTACTCCCTGTGTTTTAATAATGTTCAACTTTTGTTTCCCTCCCCCCCCCCTGC